ACACAATTCAATAGCATAGATTTCTGCTTGAAATACAGTCGCATAGGTCCCTAGGCAGGCTGACATCTCTCCTGGGTCTGCAACTGAACCGGAAGGTGTTTTTGATCCATCTCTGAACCATCTCTGAAGAAGTATCTGCTCTTAAAATTTCCTTCACCCGGATGATCCAATTCTCTCCACATGGCGGAAAAGTACTGTATAAGGCAGTTCGTGGTTGACATTTGGAGGCATAATGTCAGAGGTCATTCCCAGAATGCTGTGACTTCCAGTGTCAGCCAGCAATCCAGTGTACTCTGCATTAGATTGCTTTGTGCAATTGTCGATGTACACAAGTCTATATGCAGTCCATCTAGCCTCTCTCTACAGAAACATGTGGAGAGGAGGTAGTTCTAGAAGGATCTCCATAGCCGTTGACGGTGTGCTACTGATGGTACCACAGATATCCAGACAAGCTTGTCTCTGGTAGCCAGAGAGCTTCGCTGGAAACGTTTTCTGTAAAGCCTTTGGCCACCAGGCAATTGCTCGATAAGTGATCGTTGGTCTGACAATCATCACATATGCCCAATTAATTTCTTTGGGATCTAAACCCCAAGTTTTACCACACATCTTTCGACATGTCCATAGGGACTGTCTGGATTTGTGTAAAATTTTACCAAATAAGTGGAGAATTGATTTGAAGTTTTTTTTTTGGTAAACCGTATCATACTTTGACTATTGTATACATTGCCGAACATAATATCCTGTTTCCCTTTTTATGGCGGTAAAGAGCTAATGTGGATTTTGTCGAAGCAATTTCCGGGTTTGTTTGCCGTGGTCTCCAGAATTGTATGCCTCACGTTTCGTTTAAAATTGCGGTAGCGTTAACAAAGATGATGAGGCAATAGACACAGCACTCGAGTTGTTCCCACAGGCCTTGGAAGAAAAAATACATCAATAAAAACACTTCACTAAAATGTGTAGATCAAGCATAGAAGTTTCTCTAATATATACTCGTAAACTGGAAGACATCAAATCCACCCTTTCAAAAATGAACATTGAATTATACGGTGATTCCTTTTTTTCATTCACATCATACCCTATACAATTTTTAGCTGATCGGTATATACTTGTTTGTTTCGAATAAAATCGATCTCAGGTCATTATTATTTCCACGACCAGGAATCATTTAAATGATCCTCACGTCACAGCGACAACTGATCCAGCAGTATTTATTTGCGAACCCATTACATCTGGGTATTTTGATGCCGAGGTTTACTCTTACCACTATGGAGTATGCCTTTCTAGCATATCTTCGACTTGCTCTCTTGTGGTCCTTAGATCAGAATGTAGTCTCACAGTTTCCTTATTGCTTGTGATGTGGATAATGGTATCCTTAGTTTCCAGCCTTTGGCAATATGTGTACAACTGTTTGGAAAAACTGTCTTCTTGCTCGTCTTTGTAATTCTTTGGATCTCTATGATGTACTGTCAGAATGTCGAACTGTTGAAAACTCACAAGCCACCTTCCTATAATGCTTCTTGAAGCTCATGATCCACTGAAGAGCAGTGGATCATGAGCTCCATGATATTTTCGCTAGTCTCTCCAAGGTTTTTCTTTTCTGAAATGAACTGTTACCTGCTTTTCCAATAGTAGCATTATAATAAAGGGTTCTGGAACACAAAATTGTTGAATCTTTTCCTCAATTTTTGATAAGATTACTGGCGATTCTTCTAGTATTTTACAAACTTTTGGTAGCAGATAGAAACCTGAAAAGTTTCGAATCCCTTGGTTTGAGTTCCCAGTTCTTCAGGACTCAGTCTTTGTTAGGTAAAACTTTATTCCGTGGTCTACGTTGAATCTTATTGGTGCCTCATGACATTTTCTGCGCTTTCGGAATAGCACTCATTTTTTTGTGAATATTCCTGAGATGATCATCAAATAAGTCTCTACAAGAAAACACCAGTTGGAAGTGAATCCTATGGCCACACTGGATATTTCGCTCATTCCTTTCCTCTAATCCCTTAACACTGTAAGGTCATGTAAGGTTCCAACACTAACTTGCAAGTAAAGCAAAACAATAAACTTTAAAAAAATGTTTTCTTGCACCTATCTCCATTTCTTATACGGCAGATTTCGATATTTTACGTCACAACAACCCCATTGTCAGAATACTACGGAAGTTTAACCGGAACAGACTCGCTGACTAGACGCATAAAAACAATTTTACTATCTGGTATATCGACAAGTAAGGACTACTTATTTACTGAAAGGTGACAATTTACCAAGAAGGTGTCTGCCGAGTATATTATTTAACTATTCAACAATGGTGTATACAGATTTTCGACTTGAGGGGAGATCGGCATTTTCATAGATCGAACAGGGGTGGATTAATGATGAGACTTCAAGATATTTAAGAATAGGGAGATGTGAACATCAGAATGTAAAAAACTGAGATGAAATGAAATGCGAATTGATAGAACTTTCAATGAAACGAGAAGAAAATTTCGAATGGAAATGAGAATATGGCATCATGCTCAATCAGTTTCGATTAAATGTGGCTATACCTCTTCTGTGAAAAAAAAACTGGGAAAACTGAGTAACGAGTGAAATTAGCAACATCCAGTGTACTATGTACGCGGAAACTGTCATTTAATTTTGAAAGATTTTGAGTTTGATATATACAATGGAAAATGTTCCTCCTGTCGAAAATGAAGTAGTTTTCATTAAAGAGCTCTAAAACAACGCATTTTAAACTTTTCATTTCAACCTTTTTCTTTGAAAAATTATTTGAATACTGAAAAAAGAGGAATGAAATAATGCATTCAACATTCAAAGGGATTCGTTTCTATTTCACCATTTGGCAACATCGGTTATAGTTAATAAAGGACAATGAATCTGTTATCTGTATGAGACAAACAAAGATGACATATTTCAGAGGCGTGCTGTTCTGTTTACTTATGTTCCGAACCGCTTAAATACTTCAAATAATTCAGCTTTCTGCTTCGATAAGTTTGTTGGGGGTTAAAATGGACACCAATATGTCTTGGCACAATCATGTCGCTGTAATTGTAAAGGCTGCTTCTCAGAAGCTTGGAACACTGTTTCGAACCAGAAAACTGTACACATTTTAGCAACTTTTGATGCTCTATAAAGCCCAGATCAGACCTTCTTTGGGGTATTCTTTGGAGTATACCCTGAACCTGCTGGATTCCATCCAGAAAAGAGTCATCCGTCTGATTGGAGACGCGAACAACATTTGCAACCTTGCTGTTCATGTTTACATGTTTCTCCCGTTAACCAGCTATCGCACCCCTACGAACGACAACTCTCAGACTTGTGCAAGCTAAGGACTAACGAGGTCTTACCTTTTAACGTGCGCTGGTTCAGCCTGGGGCTGAAGTCAATCGATTGACTCAAGCTTTTGATCAAAATGATTGCCTGTCTAGGGCCTCCTTAAATGACATAAAAAAAATCAGACATGATTCAGTGAGTCAATTCAAATATTTTTTTTAAGAAATCAAAGTTGTGATCAACGAAGGATCTAATTGTTTTCTTGCGTTCTTAGTTCAATGGGAACTTGATTGACAAGTTTCGGTCCAAAATAAGTAACAAACCTTTGAGTATATACATTTTTACATAAAGGAACACAAATTGTTCTCTCGGATCTGGTACGGGTGTCCTGTATGTGTGTCACATATTATGGGAGGCGAGTTCAACGTCCAAAGTACACAATGATAGGTGTATAATTTTCTGATTTCGAATAAACTAGTCCCCTTATGTAAGCTATCAGTTGGATGGCTTCTATCTTCAATACTATTTTAAGCAATGCAGTACTCGGCGTTTCCTCTGCAAAATAATTGTTCGCTAAGGTGATTGCCTCTTCATTTGACGAAAATCTCTGTCCTCCGAGCGCAATTTTTGGATGAGGGAACAAAAAGAAGTCGCTTGGGGCTAGATCTGGGTTGGAAGGCGGATGGTCAAGCAGTTCAAACCATAATTCGTGGATTATCGCCATGGCAACCTCTAAGGTATGAGACGGTGCGTTGTCTTGATGAAGCAGTTCTGCTTTCAGCTTGTTTAGTAATGATACGTAGTATGCTCTTGTAATGGTTTTTCCTTTTTGAAGATAATCGATCACATATTAAAGATATTATGCTTGGTGTACCACAAGGTTCAATATTAGGACCGCTGCTGTTTTCAATCTATATAAATGATCTCCCGAAATATATCAAACATGGTAAGTTTTTGCTTTTTTGAAACCGGTTCCCTGTTTGCAGTCCTTGTTTCATCTGCAGTAATTAATCGGTACCAGAAATCGGATTTATTGCGCCTAAAATGCGCCAACAGAGCGTTGGAAATGTTCATTCTAACACGTTTTCGGTCTAATGTGAGCAAACGCGGCACCGAACGGGCGGACAGCTTTCTCATGCCTAAACGTTGATTCAATATGTGACACACACTTTCCTTTGATAGGTTCATAACCTCTGAAATATCTCTCACTTCAATTCGGCAGTCGTCTAGCACCACTAGGCGAACTTTGTTTTCGTCGGTAGTAGCAGTTTTTGAACGTTCCGAACGTTCATCGTCTCCAATGTTATCAAGGTCACGCTTAAATTCAGCTGCCCAAAATTTCGCTGTGGTAAATGATGGTGCAGAGTCCCCACACACAGAATTCAACTCATCTTTGATTTGCGTAGACGTATCGCCTTTCAAAAACAAATCTTCAATGACAGCTCGATACTCGATTTTCTCCATTTTCATGAAAACACTCACATCAACTCACTCAAACGCGTCCAAAATGGCTCAAACTTTGGGGAGTGAAGTCAACAGTTGAACAACGAAATTCACTAGCTTTCATTTACGAGTGCCGCTATCTTCATGTTAAGGTCGGAAACTTTTCAATCCACCCTCGTAGCATCCTGCAGTGCCTGAAACTGAAAACAGACTTTGATGCCTTTTCAGTAATTACATATTATAAAATTGTAATGAATAATGTATATAATTTAGGTATTCTTTTTCAGCGTTGTTCCTATCAAGAATGACCTCACTCCACAACAAATAGCCAACGAATATGCCGTTAATTTTCCTGCAGATTGCCAAGGCAGCTCTCCTGATACACCTCCACCCGGAACTGATCTCAAACAAAGGTTGAAGCTAGGTATTTTCGGATGCCTGGGACCCGTTTTGGCCTTGCTAGGGAAGGGGGTGGACGAGAACAAAAACGCTCAAGGTGAGTTCCTCTTTTGAAGAAAACCGTATGGTATTCTTGAAAATGCTATCGATTCTTTCTCGAAGAAAACTTGGCAGACGATCTGTACTTCAACATGTTTGAAAGAAATATCAAACCTCCCTTAGACCCCTTTCTATAGAATTACTTCAACTTTGTTTGTAAAATAAGACACAGCCTGCCGATAGTGATGATTTTAAATGGGCCTTCATACAATAGTGACTAACGAAATTTCTTTCTGGCAAATTGGAGGTTCGTTTTCGTTTGTATATTTGAATCGACCAGCAAAGAAGAAATCAAACAACTTTATTTTTGTCTCGCTTCTTATTACTCAATGATTGCCAAGATCCAACCAAATCTTCTATAGTCCAGGACTATAGTCCAGGACTATTAGTCAAATGAGGGCAGGTATCTCGAAATGAGGGATGGTCAGCTATAAACTTGTATGAACCTTCATTTTGACACCCTTAAACTTGTCTCAAAACTTACTTATCGTAGGTTGTCCGTCACTACAGCAATTGTAAGGTCCCAGATAAAAAAATCGACTTTTTACACATTTATTTCCTATGGGTTTCATGCTATTTGTTTTCATTATAAATATTGTAGAGGATTGAATTCTCTATAATTTTTATTTAAACATTTTTTTATATCGAACCATTTTCGAGATAGAGGGCAGAGCACGCGCAGTGCTCAACTGTTTAGAGTGTCATTCGAGGTCAACCTGTAGTCCCGAATAAAAACACGCCGTATAAAGTTTATAAATTATTGATGAATATGTAATTTTAAATAAATAATTTAAATTTTGTATTAACTATTATGTTTTAATTAATTTTTATTTCAATAATTCTGTATCTATTAATTCAATAACACTTACCTACTCATTAAGGAAAATACTTTAATTACATTTTAAAAAGAAAATAAGTGAGTACATCCTCATTCTAAAAAACACAGATTGTTTCTTGTCGCAATAAGTGGCTGTAATACGACTTCTGCGCTCTTTAGAAAAGGAAAAACTTTTGTAAAAACCCTCGAGAAACTTCCGAATTTGGATCAAATTGCTGCAGGATTTGAAGAAGAAAACTGCCCGGTTCAATCATTATTTTAGAATGGAGTGCGAATCTTGTTGGCAATCTATAATGCTCCAAAATCTGAGGACTGCATCGATCGTCTTCGCTATGCAGTTCAATTTAACAAAACTGAATAAACCTGTGCCGTTATCAAATCATCTACCAACGAGTGCCGCAGCTCATCAATATTTCAAACGTGTTTATGATCAAGTTCAGACTTGATTAGAGCATGACTCAGAACCCCAAAATTGGGGTTGGATATGTTAGGTTAGGTCCAAAGTGAGTAGGTCTTGTCGACCCTCCACCGGAACCCGCAAAGGTTTATTATGGCTTACACCTATTCACACTCAACCAAGTAAATCCAGCTTAACGAAGCCGGTTAGTTTGTATGGTGAGTGGTCTTTCAGGTCAGATGGTAAGAGTACGGCTCTGCCGAACTCTAAAAACCTGATTCGGTCTCCAGCGGGGCAGGCGCAAAGTATGTGCTCTGCTTCCAAACAGAGACGACACACACTGTCTTCCGACAGTTCGATTACTGCATATGACGATTCAAATGACGGTGATCTGTAAGAAGGCCTGTTAGACGTCGTAGTTCGTCTCTATTGTGGAGTCCAACAACTGTTTGGTATCAAGCTACGAAGGGTGAATAAACGCCTTGGAGTGAGCCAATCTTGGAAGATTCTGCTGGAAGTCCATAAATCTTGCCTTCCAGGTGTTCAATCTTTGTTTGTCAAGGCCTAAAGTGATGCCAAAGACAGGTTTTGCTCCGATGAAGCTGCTTGCAGCACTCTCTTTTGCAAGGGAGTCAGCAGCCTAATTGCCTTCCAGGCCAGTTTGGCCAGGAATCCAAACCAGAATCTTTCTATTGAGGAGAGTCGTTTTTGGCAATTTGCTACCAATTTAGACGTTGCTCGGTAAGGGTAAGAGCTTCCAACGCCGTTTGACTGTCCGAGAATATTTTTATTAACTTGTGTATGAGGTTGGATTCTACCAATCTCTCCGCACACATTGGGTTGGATAACGCGTGACGAATTCCTGGAACCTGTTATGATAATGAATCCACCAGCTCCGGAGGAATTGCTTAACAAATATTTTGGAACTGTAAGAATGGTGGTGGTTCGCAATGTGGCTGCAGGAAAGCAGGGTTGCGGTGCTGCTCTTCAGCTTGCGTCCAGTGTAATGGGCAAGCTTGTCTTAATGGCTTTGACCCCGAAAACCTGGAAGAACTGAAGACAAATGTCATTGAAGAGGAGAACACAGAGACATTTGAAATTTTATAGCGACTGGAAGACGATGATGATGAAGAAGAATAAAATTGAAATTAGAACTTGTAGTTCTCATTTGTTTAAATTTCAACGTTCATAAATGTATGAAATGGTATTTTTATTATAACGTAATAGTTAATAAAAAATGCAAATTATTCTGAATTATATATTTTTCAATAGTTTATAAACTTTATATGGCGTGGGACTACAGGTTGACCTCGAATGATACTCTAAATGGTTAAACACTGCGCACGTTCTGCCCTCTATCTCGAAAATGGTTTGAGATATAAAAAAATGTTTAAACAAAAGTTGTAGAAAATTCAATCCTCTACAATGTTCATAATGAATACATAAACCCATAAACCATAAACATAATACATAAACCCATAGGAAATGAGATATTTGGAATAAATGTGTAAAATATCGATTGTTTGACATAGTCGCGAACACCCTATAAGTTGATTTTGAGGAAAGTTTTAAGGTGTCAAAATAAAAGTTTTTACAAGTTTATAGCTGACTATCTCTCATTTCGAGGGGAAACCCCTAATTCTCCTGGTGTATAACCAGTTTTTTTTACTAACAGGAGACCTTGCATGATTCTAAGTGAAGTTAAATTTTGAAATGTTAGAAAACAATTTTTCGAAAAATTAGGGCACCTTTGGACAGATAATTGAAAGTGAGGGTAACATACCTTCGTAAGATGTTGAACCGCAGACGCTAATGATATTTCTTGAAAGTTTCTCTCCCTTCCAGCCGAAAATAAAATCGACGCGTCTTTCTGATTTTTTAATTAATGGAATGAAGATATTTAGGGTTTATAATATTCAGGCCAGAGAGATCTTCTGTAGACTCTCACTCAAAGTGGTATTGTTAGTATGTTATGTGTTCCTTTATTCATGTTGTAGAGCCCAATCTAGTATATCCTATATAATATTGCTGATGGTTATGCACGTTCATTTGACAATATTTTCCGTCTTATGTTTCAGATGACTGGGAAATTCCGTTCGAGCAAATAACAGACCTAAAGTTCCTCGGGTCCGGAGGACAGGGAGCGGTCTTCTCCGGCCTCCTGAACAATGCACAAGTGGCCGTTAAGAAAGTCTCCGAACTGAAAGACACCGACATTCGAAATCTCCGCAAACTGAATCATCGCAATATAGTGAAATTCAAAGGGGTTTGCACGCAGGAGCCATCCTGCTACTGTATAGTTATGGAATTCTGCCCTTACGGGCCTCTGTTCGATCTGCTGAAGAATCAGAAAAACAATGTCACTATTAACAGGGTAGTATCGTGGGCGAAGCAGATAGCTGACGGAATGCATTATCTACATAGCCATAAGATCATTCACCGGGATTTGAAAAGTCCAAAGTGAGTATATGAACAATCTTTCGGCTTCCAAGAATTAATTTGGATTTTTTTCCTGAATTTGGAGGTGTATTCAAGCACTATAATCATCTATACTGTTCATACACTGGCATGTCTTCATAACTCCATTTTGATATGTCGAATTTGACAGATATTTATATACTGATGTCAATAACACAATCTGGCAAACGTGCATTTGTTAATTCGCCATACATCGCGCTTGTGATTTGTCATTCAATATTTTTTCACTGTTATGGTGTATTTCAAGGTGCAGTACAGTACAAATACTCGGAGCCACCAGTTATTCTGCTTGGTGGCTCCGAGCGTAGTTGGTTAATAAGCACCAACAGTGTAGACTGCATAGTCTACCGAGAAAAGCTGAATGAACTAGAGCTCAGACGCCCAAATTCCCTCCAGCTCCCCACGAAACAATGCGTGGGGTGGAGGTACCCCACTCGAGGAAAAATCTGTTGCGAAGACGTTGCACATACCCGAACAGATTAATTCTGCTGCGAAGATGTCACTGGCACCCGAGCAGACAGGACAATAGGAACGGTATTTTGCCCATCAAGAAGCAGTGTGAAATAAAAACACGAAATTGTTTTTGATCTATCATTTTCAAAATAACAAAAGAAGTGTCACTCTCAGCACAATAACTCACAAACTTATGAATATAATATCAATTTCAACAGCATTCTTTTGAAGGTTAGTACTAATCGAAAAAACGGTGAATAATGCAATAAGACTACCGCCATCTATGTGTTAATTCCGCGACTTTTCAACCCATGTAGTATACATGTATGTTTTTGAGAAACGACACAAACGTATCTCCAAAGACACCTGCCAAAAATCCGATAATCATAATTTACAACAACGAGAATTCTAACCCGTTTCTTGGCATGCGCCTTTTTCGGGAGTTTCCACCCGAACGTGAGCGAGTGTGGACTTTGATTACCTGAATACCAATCTCATATTAATTGACACATATAAGTGTGAGGCAGGAGGTGTCAGAACGGAGCACAGCCATTCAGAATCTGCAGATCAAATGTCGAGTTCTCACTAATAACATGAGAGACGCTCTCCACTGTCCCCCCTTTTCGTTGATGTCGTGAGGACGCGTCTTGCTCTGGAGTCGTTCCTTTCCCCCTCCACTCGTTTGGAGTGTTATGAAATTTGAAATGTGGATAAATGTATATATTCATTGTAAAATAAAAACTTTCGATTGTGATTTTTTTGGTTAATGCGTCTGTCTAGAGAACAGACGAGTCAGCCGGGTTCGAAAAGCGGTCGGGTCACATTTTTTCAATTCAGTTTTTCATTCATATGTCTGCATATCGTAAACTTAACCTTCCTTATTGAATTACAGACGCTAGTCTCTCTTGTATTTCAAATGGGTTTATTTCATGCATTGAGGTTCATGTTATAAAATCCTGATGATGCTCCTAAATGTGAGCTATTCTGGAATGATACAAAAAATTAATCTTCGAATGCGTGACGTTTAGTTGATAAGTCCATCACAATTAACAAATTTCATTCATTACGCACTAACACTACGAGAATCTAATCGAAAATGTGAATCGGCTATCATTCTGCTTGGTAGCTCCGATAGCGAAGCTGGTTAATGCGAACAGAAAAACTAGATTCGAATCCCGTCGGGTCACATTTTTCAATTCAGTTTTTCATTTATATGTCTGCATAACGCACATTTAATTCTTCGTATTATATGACACAGCGATGCGCTTCTAATGTCGTTTTTGCTTGTAGAACGACCGCCCTTCAAGGTTCCCCTCATTTAAAAAAAAGCCATGTCTGACGACATGGCTGGGGCATCGTTACAGTATTGTTTTTAGCCAATAAATTCACGAACTGAAGTGTGCGCAAACATTATCATATGCATAGTATCATTTTCGTTGAGCTCTTAAAATACACCTAACCTAACGGTTGCCCCAGACGAAGTACCTAAACAATGAATGAATACAGCTGAAAATTTTATTATACTTCAGGGGCATGTGTAGGTACCAACAATAAAAAATAAGTTAACATAGGTACCTCATACTTATGTCAAAGGATATACAAGTTTCAATGTTAGTTTTTTTGTTTCAGTGTTCTAATAGGCGAGGGCGAAGTTATCAAAATCAGCGACTTTGGCACATCCAGAACGTGGAACGGAGTCAGCCAGAAGATGACTTTCGGAGGAACCGTCGCGTGGATGGCCCCGGAAGCGATCCAGGAATTAGCTTGCAACGAAAAAGTCGACATCTGGTCCTTCGGCGTAGTCTTGTGGGAACTGATAACCTGCGAGGTCCCGTACGATGGCATGAACCAAGGAGCGATTATGTACTCGGTGGGATCCGGAAAACTTACACCCCCTATACCGTCAACTTGTCCTGAAGGCTTTAAACTAATCATGCAAATGTGCTGGAAATTCAACCCGAAAGAACGGCCTAATTTCAAGCTGATTCTCAACCATCTGGAAATAGCTTCGGTGGAAATCCTCTCGGAATACGAAGACAAAAACTTCTTCAAAACGCAAGAGAGCTGGAAAAAGGAAATCCAAACTGAAATGTATCTGTTTTGCGAGCAGCTGCGGAGACACAAAGTCGAGTATCAACTCAAAGAAGAACAGCTTATAAAACGCAGGGAGCTAGAGCTCAAACATATTCGCGATATTCGAGAGGTGTACGATAGGAGGGTCGAAAAAGTTAACCAGATGATCGTAGAACTGGCCTGCCAATTGCAGCAGGTGGGGAGGCCGCGACCCAATGTTAGACAGAGGAAGATATTGCCGAGGTTCAATAATAATCGAAGGAGACCTGGCAATCAAAGTACCACGCCAACTAGTCCTGAATGTAGTCTCACAAGTCCAGATAGTCCACAGATTGTGAGTCATTTATTGATATTTTTGATAGTGTTTTTACTAATGTTTTGGTTGAAAGAGGTTACAAATGAAAAACTACAAATGATAATCTTCTGCTAACGTCGTTTTTCATTAAATCATCCTCGGGACACTAAAAATGTATGTAATAAATCAATTAGAAAATCACAACACGTATGTAAAAAAGAGCATGGTGAAACAATAAAAATAATCACAAAATTATGTTGTACAGGATACAGCGAGATGACCGTCTGTTATCCGTATTTTGGGAGATAATAGGACTCCTATCCTGAAAATTGAAAAATATAGGTCTTTAAATATGTTTTATCGAACGAAAATAATGGCGGTTTTTTGATAGGTAGATTGACAATAATGAGCCGTACTTTTGGCCTGCACGTTCTCCCGATCTGTCTTCTATGGACTATTATGTATGGGGACATATTAAAAATATTTTATATGCAGATCCTGCAACAAGTAAGGAGAATATGGTTTCAAAAGTTTCACAAGCATTCTTCGCCCTAGTACTGATGAAATCAGTCGTGCTGTAAATAACAATTTGCTTAACAATTTGATGAAGAGAGTTATCGAATGCCTGGAAGTTAACGGAAATGTTTTAAACGATCGATCTTCACTTGCTACCGTCCAACCCGTGTTAGGAATCACACGTTAAAAGGTAAGACCTCGTTAATCCTTAGCTCGCACAAGTTTCGACTTCTGAGGGTTGTCGTTCGTAGGGGTGCGACAGCTGGTTAACGGAAAAACAGATTTTAAACAGATTGCTAAAAATCACTTTCGCAGTTTTTGACTTTATCGCGTTTAGACAGACAGACGTGGCGGAGGGCTTATAACAAAATAATTGTCGAATATCTGTTTTTTCACTTTGAATAATTTATCTGAAGATAATATAGAATATTTCTGAAGAAAAGAGAATCAAAACTTTCTATGTTTTTTAGCACTTTTATTTGTAACTAACATTACTGCAGTTTCTTCCTATAAGGACATTTTCAAACATACATTAAACTTGAGTTAAATGTATAGGTTAGTTACAAATAAAAGTGGTAAAAAACATAGAAAATTTCAATTCTCTTTCCTTCATTATGATTTCCTACCACATAGTAACGGCTCATAAATTAATTTGAAAAACCATTATTAAGGAATATCTCAATTTTTCAAATAATTAACGTCACCCCAAAGTTCAGTGGTGAAAATATGATTTAAATTTAATATGGCTATTTGAAATTTTTTAAAAAATTGAATTTTGGGTAAATATCTTAATTTTGGGTAAATATCCTTATTTTCTTAGTAGATCAGTTCATATGTGAATCCCATCTAAAGTGTTAATTGTTCATGATACCTCAATATTTTATATAATCAATTTACCTATTTCCATATTCTTATATTCTTTAATTGTTTTCAAAAATTCGGTGGTTAGGACATTTTGAATTTCAACATGAGCAGTTTCTTCTTCAAAAACAACCTATCAATGTTGTGTATCTATAAAAACAATAATGATCAGTAAGGATTTATTACTTTTCAGGCTCCAGTGAAACCTCCTCAATACACCCGACTGAAACAAGACACAGACACTGTTTTGCAATCAACAACAACTCAAACTGCCAGCGTCAGCTCTCGAAAAAGGCACAGTAGAACAAACTCAGGTTCTCCTCGCAATTCCAGATGTTCGAGGTCATCTGGATCGAGGACCTCAATAGTGGTGGATGCCGAAACCCAAACGGATTCCATGGACATCAGCGAAACGGACCTGAGCCCCACCGCGAGTTGTCCCCCCACCTCGATTTGTCCGACTACTTCGTGTTCAAACACGCTTGTTTATCCTCAGCGGGTAATCCTGCAGGAGTTCAGGAACGGTTTGTCCGAAGAGGGATCCAACGGGAACTGTGTGCAGTTGCATTATATGGTCCCTCATCCAGAGCCAGGTCAGTAGTCAGTTGTTTATTGCACTTGCACGAGAATAAAAACATTGATTTGATTGTACTTTGGATTTTATCAAATATAGTTGAAATCAAAGAGACTGCAATTACATAATTTCATACCAATTTTGAGAAAAATTACGGGAGAGAACAATATCATCCAAAAAAGTAAGAGAAGCCTATATTTTAACTAACATACTATTTGAATGTGTGCTCATGTGTGTATGTATATGTATGTATAACTATATGAACATTACATTTTAGCAGAAAAATGTTTGTCGACAAGATGTATTTCTTATGATATTAAACATATATCTCTCTTCAATCGAGGTTTGCTCTTTGTAACATCCGTAGTCGTTGATTGAAACAGGTTACTTAGGAACTGAATTATGGGCTGCCGGACCTCAGCGGAGAGGGATGGTGGGTAAATATAAATCCACTTGGAGGATGAGTGTATTGTTTCTTTAAACACGCCAAGCTGATGGTGATTACAGGCTTATGGCCCAGAAGTATACTTTTGGGTGCACAGATATAGATGTAAGCAAGTTATGATTAAACTTAAGGGGTGGTAAATGCTCGGTTTATTCTACAATTCGCAATTTGTGCCGTAATGTTGATTCGAGGTCGTTGCGGGAGGGTGTAATACATAACAGGAAATACCTTACATGCGTGGGATATGGGAAAGTAGTCTCCAGTAGCACGATCCAACCCTTGTACGCAGTCCACTCAGGCAGTGCTCTATCCCATGCAGATAACTTGCTCCTTGGAAGACCGTAATCAGAGATATAAGGGGTGTAGTGGTCTAGCCTGGCGAGAGATACACCAGGATATAATTCACAATATCGACTTGAGGTGGTAATAAGAAGGCCTAAAATAAGGTTAAGGTTTAGAAGGATATACCCTTTAGATCATTTAATACGTTGAAAATGTTATTGTTAATAATCGCCTTCAAAATTGTTCCCATTAGATATCATGCACATGTGTCATGGCTTCTTGCAATCCTTGAAAACACTTTGCAAACTCGATCTTTGGGATAGCCTTCAGCTCTCTATAATGCGCTTCAGCTATCATCTATGATGTGTCTTTGTGGTCCATCTTTTTTTGAAACTTGAAAAAAAAAACACATGAACTATATTTGACGAGTATGGAGGTTACAGTATTGTTTTCGGTCAAAAACTCACGAACAAGCACTAAAGTTTGAGCTGGTGCTAAAGCCATGAATTGTTTTCCCACAAATCCGGGCGTTTTTTCGGATTGCTTCACGCAAAAGATCAGCGACTTCTCTGATTGTGAGTCAGCGTTTCTTCATAATCATTTTTTTTTCACTTTTTTCACGTTTTTATTGGTTGTTGATGTATTGCGGCAGTCGTCATCTTCAACGTCTTTACGGCCATCTTGGAAACCCCAATACAACTCATAAACTCTTGTTTTACTTATAGTAGACTCACCGTAGGCCTTTGTTAACATTTGACACACTTTATCTAATTTTTTACCCAAAATTTGATACAAATCCTTTGGTCCATTTGTTTTAACTTAAAAAACGTCTAACTATAAGCGACTAAATACAGCTGAACATTGTCTAAATAATATATTCGACCACAACTTGCATATATTGAATTTGGTTCTAGCAGTCCAGGTGTTCACCAGAGTGGATTCCCGAAGTACGAGCCCCATTGACTTCGATTGTGAGGACAGCGTGAACCGGAATATTGTTCCTGGTGCATCAAGTGAAGAGGATAACCTAGAAACCATTGGCAGGAAGGTTTCAGCCATCAAAATAGCAGCTATTTTCTCACCAGAAAATGGAAATCTCTCAAGTGGTATTAGCGATATGGGCGACATGATTAGACAGAGGACGAATTCAGAAACCAGAGACGATTTGGATAGTACCGAAGATGCCGCAAATGAAGATAGTTTCACCGACGAAGAAGGAGAGGTTTATAATCATTCGCTAAGGAGACGGAGGTAATTGAGTCTAAAGATTCAGAATTATTTTTGGGGCTGTCGAAAATTGCGGAAAACTATTCAATATAAGTATAAACATTACTGTTATACTTAGTCCTACTTATTTGATGTGAATATTAGGGCTATATTTGTACTTATGTGCTCACCAAAAAAGATCAAATTCCGAATAATTTTTCAAAATGGCATCAAAACTGTTGTTGTATCTGTACACGTATATGAACTTGTTTGGAAATTAATAAAAATGTAAATCTTTAGTTTACTTGAATTCCTCTTTGAGTCCTGCCAGTTTGTTACACAGTTATTTACCTACTTAGGACTGCCTATATAGTATAGTTTTTGCTAGATACAAAGAAAATGCAACTAGGTAAGTTGCAGTAGTTTAGATATCTTAATTTTGTTTCAAGATAATCTGTTTAAAATCTGTTTTTCCGTTAACACAGACAATGATAATGAATCCAAACAAAAATTTTTTCTAGCATACCAGAACTGTGACACGTTTTATGTTGAGAAACATTTGTGTTAAATTCGCCAGACTTGCCAATTCCACACAGCAGTTAAGACAGGGATTTGAGTTTATGTAATTACATTGTTACACGAATATGAAACTTAGATGATGATGAATGTGAAAACTTATTTTTTCCAGGATTGAAATATAGAGGGTGGTTGTTATAAATTATGTACTAAATATCTTGAGTATATCTTTATGAAACCAACAAAATAATTTGAAGATCATATTTTCAGTTTCCATTCGAGAGTATTTTATAACGAAAAAATGTAATATCTAATTGAAACTTTTTGGTTAGCACCAACAGCCGCAATCCATTTGAAATTCTTACAGTCTATTATTTTTGTAGCAAACCAGGAAAAGAACCCCTGAAATCCAGGTAACGAATATTACCCAGTATCGTTTTTCTGAATATCACCTTTGTTTCCTTATCTCCCATAGTTTAATTTCATTTCTGACACAAATGAAACATTTTCATAAATATTATTTGCTGTTTACGGGTTCATTAGTCATAATCTGCACGTTTTTGCAAGTGATTTAACTTCCTGCATATCACAGCTAGGTAAATCACATTAACTATTGCCAGAAACCTGCAGACTATGGCCGATATACGGACAAAGAAATTAGTCTGGTAGACAGCGGCACTGAAAGCCTACATATCATGCTCATAAACTATGAAAATTTATTGAGTGTAGTTAGGATCTCGAATTCCAAAATAAGCTAGAATTATTCAAAAACTAGCAGTGTTTCACCAGTTTGGTTGATGAAACGCGTTTTTAGGAATGGAGGTACTTCATCTCATCATCTCATGGTTAGGAAATAATTTCAATATTTCATCCATTTCAATTTTATTTTTCTTCAACACCTTCACTGATAATGGAAATGGGAACCTGCAACCTGCAAGTCAAATGTTCTTATTATTACTCACAAATTCTTAATTTTTTCCAGTCTGGCCAGAAGACCGATCTACCCTGGTCGTAGATCAAACCGGTTCAAAATGAACCTCGTCCAGTTCCAAAGAGAACCAAATGCATCAGACGAAGGCAACACCTCCGAATATTCACCCTCGAGCAAATCTTCAACCTTGGAATCGAACCCTGACCGACTTCGACTACCTAACCTTTCTGTCAAAAGGTCTAGCGAGAGCATAGATGGCGCCTCTGACAGCGATTCAGAGGAGACCACCACGATCGCTACGCAAGTATCCTATAAAATTACAGCATGAACAAAGCAGAGAGTGCAGTCTGAATCGAAGAAGCGTGGATGTGATTTTGTTTTAGTCTTTAAGTTTTATTCCTATGTTTTGTTTTATTGTTATTTTGTTCTGGGATATTCGAATTTATACACTTTTTATGGGTCGGCATGGCTCTGGATTCCCAAAGATACTTTACAGAGTGTTTCATTATGAATTTCGTAGTGAATATGAGTCCCAATGCTACAGATACAGGAATGTTATCAGTTAACCATATATCAGTTGGCAGATACGAATGGCATTGGTAACAATTGAAAAACCATTTCTGATCAGTGGAAAAATGACAAAAGTAAACCAATGATCATGTTCGGCTTTGACTAAAATATATATTTTTTGAAATCTTATATAAAGTCGCCAAAGAACAAATCTATATATATTAGAACATAGGCCGGAGAACAAAGGCCGTTGTGAAAAGAAACTTGTAGTACCATATGTTTAGTCTGCTATCTAGGCAGACACCTTCGGTAATGTATGCGTTCACTGCGAAGACGAAGGTAGAATCTTGAAGTCTTAGCAACATGTCTCATATACTTAGTCTTTGCTGAGACTTCGAGATACTTTCTACTTCCAGGTAGTCAGTGCCTATACCACTGAAGATGTCCGTCTTAGTAGTAGATAAAACGTTAATTACAAGTTCTTTTAAACCACAGCCCAAAGCTTGTTTTTTTTCTCTAATCGATACCCACACCCACTATTCTTGGAGAAATGTTCTAGTACTATAGGAATATAGTAAAAACAACCCAAATCTACTAAACAAAGAAGGTATACTGTTTGTGATATGTCAAATGAGTTTAAAAATGATAACGTCAGACTGCAAAAGTAAATCATACTTTTATAAGACTTCATATTTTCAAAAATTTCAGAATGTTGTACTATTTTCAGATTATAATTTTCTGAGGCTATTTTGAATATTGAATTGAATAATTTGAATAATTGAATAATCTAATCTATATTAGATAAGTACTGTACTATATTCTCCACCCATTCCAATTATTTTCTCAAATATGTGAAAACAAAGATGAATAAGTAGAGGAAAAGAGGAGCAAGAAGAATGAAAATAATCAACTGAGGAGGAACTTACGAAAAAATACCATAGACAAAAATGACAAAACAGCTGGCAAAGACGTTAGTTTTTATGAATTGATAAAACTCGGAGGTGAAATGTATGAGCAAATATACTGAAAAAGGGCGAATTCGTGGGGGATAATGGGGGTAATAATCTCCTTTCCCCCGACATCAACATTCAGTACATCTCAAATGGAGAAGTAGAAAGCCAAAATCTTTTCCCAAAAACCTTTCTTTTTCAAAAACCAATGTCTCCAATAAATATATTTCTTTCAATTATTTTCAAATGAGTATTGTAACAGCAATTAATAACGATTTATCGTTATAAAAATTGAACTTCGCCTTTTGTTTCCAACTTATTCATATTTTTGTCCATAGTGTTCATTAACTGTTGAACCTTATTAGTTGTAAACAATAAAGACATTTATTATTATTATTATTACATACTTTCATATATAAATTATTTCCCTAAAATGACCCCTCTTCTCTCGAAATTTAGTTTTTTTAAGTAACACTGAAACAAACTATGCTATCCTTACAAAGGCTTTTTTACTCATATTCATTTCTTCATCATATATCAATAAGAATATGTTCTCTTTCTCTTTGTATGGCCGTTGCTTTCCTCTCGGGCGCATTCGGCCACTTTTCTCCTGTCATTTGTTGACAGGAGCTTTTGTGGGGGCAGCAGTCTTGCTTGAGGCAATGCTGCCACCCTTTAGTATTTTCTCACAATTTTTGTACATAAAAAACTTCATCATTTTCTGTTTCTACTTTTTTATTTTCAATATTCAAAACAGTGTTGCAAGATTAACATGTTATGCTACTTTTCATTTCATTAAATGGTCTCTGGAGACGTTCGTATCTATCCTATGTTTTTTGCAAGGACTTATAAATAATTCATGAAACATTCTGAACTATTTCCATTTATCTGTATCCTGGTATACAATCAACATACCTTGTATCTGTATCTGTAGAGTAGGGAGGGTGAGTGTAGGCCCACAGCACTCAGGCCACATTTGACCCATTCTACATCCTCCCAAGGAGTTGTCCTCATAGGCCATCGTCCATCCTGTCCTTTCCAGGAAGGTGGACAGGTCTCTGGGAGACATCTCTTTTATATCGGCAGGTGTAGGCCAAGACTCGCCGAACACACCCTCTCTTTGACAGTTTCATCTTCCTGTTCACACATCCTGCATAAAGGTGTGTCCACTAGCCCCATATTGTGGAGGTGTTTCCTTAGTTGAAAGTGGCCAGTCAGAAATCCTACTGATAAGCATATATTTTTCCTGGTCATCGCCAGATATTTCTTCGGCGCCAGCTTGCCAGGGTCGCCAAGAGTGAACCTGGTAAGATTGCAATCTTTGATTTCATCCCATCTCTTTAGGAATTGAGCATGGGTGTGACGTTTGGCTAGTTCCACAATTGTCGAAGTCATCAGGCCGTAGGTGCCTGTGTTCTAAAATTCTCAGTCCAGCCGCTTCCTTGGCTAAAGAGTCAGCAATGCTATCACCTTTACTCCTGTCTGTTTTTGAACCTTCTGTATATATGCTTATTGCAATTGTAGCATCTGACTCTGGGTTGTTTTTTATTTGTATTTTGTAGGGTTTATTAAACACAAACCTGGGTTCAATTGCATCACTGGTTGCCTGCAGCAGGCTCAGCCTCAATTGACCCATTCCTATTTCGAGGTTTACACCAGCCGTGCGCAATCTTAATATGGCCTTTAACGCAACCTCCTTAACGTACAGGTCCAGAGGGGTCAGACCAACATACCTTGTATTTATTGATTGATTTCACTTTACTCAGCACAATATTTGTGTGATTCAATGTTGATCTATTTTAAAGAAAAATTTTTCATGAAAAATAATTTGAAAATTTCAAAGTGACTTACAAATTCTTTTGTGCAAACTGGTTGATTACTCCTTTGAGGAACACACCTTTTAACAAATTTACATGAATACTGTTATACTGGTAATCAGGGTAAGCAAACTGAGTCTTTGATTAAGAATTTTATGGAGGAAAAAAAAAGAGGAAGACAATTTTTGAGTTTTCTTCAAGCGTTGAAAGTTTATATATTATTTGTGTGAGCGATATCTATAACTTATATTAGAGACATTACTAAAATATAGGTTTATTTTTTTCGGGTCAGTGCATTGGGTGGAGTCTGGGAAGTAATTGTTTTTGTCATTTCTCCATTGCATTATGGATCATGTATTAAAATTGATACATTCTTGTATTCCATTAGAATTCACATTGGGAATCATTTGTGAGTATTAAGAAAAAATATTTTGATATAATAGAAGTTACAGTTCGGAATGTTTATTGACACATTGAGCTACCTTAAATGTATTAATGAAACTATACTGTATATTGAAAGAGTTATATTACTTCTACCAACAAGTGGCCTCAATGCATGAAACAGTCTTTTTCCTTTGGGTACTATTCGTATTACACATTTACGTTACAAATACATTTTATTATTCATCTTATTTATGTATATACATCACAAATGTTATGAATATATTCTGTGAGTGTTAAAATGTATTAACGTCAACATTACTATAACTACGAGCACATACAAATAAATCTCATTCATATATACACGAAAGAAATGTATATGATGTACTGATCATGTTTGAAATCTGTAAAATGAAATTATTTTTCTCTGAAGACATTTTTCTCTCAGATGAAAATATCCATCAGACAGCTATCTTATTTAGACTCAGAAATGACCAGTATTCTTTGATGTGACGAATTCATTATCTTTTCACTTCATTCTCTAAATGTACTGGGTATTGTATTCAGTTTGACTTATATCCACTAAGCATTCTGGACAAAATCAACATCCTCTTGGATCTTATTATTATTATTATTCCTTTGACATTTGACACATGGTTTCACACGATGTGCATGAAAGCCGCACGTGGCATGTTTGTGAATCATAGTTTGAGTCATAGGCTGTGCAACACTAAGCATACACATATCTACAAAAAGTGTGATTCAAACTTTTCAGGGCATCATTAATTATCAAGTACCTACAATACATGAAACATCAATAAATGAAAACATTGGTGAAATGATTTATTTAAAAAAAAGCAGCTCATACAACCGTAAAATAATTAAAACTTTTTAGTATATATTTTTCTATTTGTTTGTTATGGCTTTCTGTACAAAAAACACGTGATGCTTGATGATATTCTTCAGTGAATTTGTTCCCTCCTTTTTTTATTCATTGTGATTTTTTTGAAGTAGCGTTAAGGAATATGTACTTATTATTATTGTTTTTTATTCGTTTACGGTTTTAGTTGTAACATTGCAATAAGTATTTATTGATACTGGCCATGAACAAATTTACATTCCGTCATAAAATCTGAAAATATCGATGTTATGATTAAGTAGAAACGATTTAAATGTTTAAGCTGATTGAATAAAAAGTTGAGACATGTACATGTACAAGTTGTCCATAAGTTGTTAGTTTAGCGAATTGTAAAACGATTTTGTCACTGCAAAACAATTTATTGATCTGAGAAATTATTCAGAAACAAAATGGTTGACTGGAAGAAATAATGATTTAGCTCTGTTTGTTGAAGTAAATATCTTGTTCTGTCACATAAATGAATGTTTCATTAGTTTACCAAACTTGTTTTGCGGCATAATGTGATGGAAATTGGCACGGTTTAGAAAATGCAGTTCTTGTATTTATCTCGAGCTGGATTGAAACTGTATGTTCATGTAAATATTCTGATATCTCTTCAAGCCAACATGTTCATATTGAGCTTTCTTCAAATTTCTAGTTATCTAATGAGTTGTTTTTATTTGATTTTCAAACTATTGGCATGCCAATGAAAAATAGAGATATAAAGATAGAATTGAACACAGAGAGTTATCAGTTTCTGAAAGATTTGAGCTCAATACCAGACGCATGTGAATATTAAGTTGAAAAAGTTCGAGCAGTTCATATTTTTAGATAATAATAATAAAAACAATTTCTCTCAAATACTCAATAAACTTATTGTCTTTTGATTTCAACTTTTGAGAAACCACAAAAATTCATAGCACTTGAATGTCTGGGTGCTCGTAATACAGATTATTTACAAAATAAAAAAGTTCCGTTATTGTGGAACTACCAATTGATATTGGAGAATTTTCTGGGTTCATAATATTCAACAATCTTCCATTTCAAGTAACTAATCATCTCCAACACTTCATTTCAGTTCTCCCAAACTAAATGTTTGACGTATTTTTGGGAATTGTAAAGAAATTATCAGATGATAGATCAGGCCGTTTTTTGGGCAAATCACATTCCATCATCATTTGGACACGATAATGGTACCTAAGTTTCATATACATACACATTTACTATTTTACAATCACTTATGGTTCTTTCTGATATTTATTATCTTTCACAACTTCATATATTCTCCTTTTTTAAAATTGCAATGATTCCACCTTTATCCAATTTCGATTTTCATGATGTTTTTTCTGAATTAGTGAATTCATCATTTCAGTTCTTTTCTTTCTGTTTTTGTGATCAGTATTACATGATCTTTATAATCTAAAGACTATCATAATTTCGTTGTACAATTATTAAATTATATTATTGTTTCTCTTCTAATTCATTCAACATCTTGATTGATTATTAGTATCGCCAAAAACATTGAACTGCTGCCTTTTCCACTTTAACAAACAAACTTTGCTTTGACATTCCATTTTTATAGTTGAATTTTTATTGATCTGGTAAGATATTTTGTATTGCCTGCATCTGACTTGAAAATGTCACAAAAATAAATACTTCATAGGTATATAATTCTTTTATTTCAGATGTTCACCAGTAAAAAGCATCATTCCACATATTCATTACAGATTTCAGTATACTGTTGGAGTTTTGAACAAGGTTTTTTTCAGAAATAGCTGTTTTCTTGGGAGAATATATTTCCTCTGGATATTCCAAGTAACTTTTACTTGGGCTGATTCTTGAAACATCTCTGAACTCCTGTAATGATGAAGTCATTATTGCTTATATGCAATTATAATAAACTGTGGATGTAATGAAAACTTTTTTATATCCATCACTAATAATTACTATTCACCTTTCCCGCAACTCAATAAAAGTCATACAAGTGAAAAAGATTAAACTCACCTCGATTCCAGTTTGAAGATTTTTAGTGACTACTAAAGCTTTCAGACAACATTTATTGAATATTTTATCTATAACTTCCTTTACATTTATTTTCGAACATATTCTAACAGTACACCTCTTTATTTCTGTGTTGATTATGAATGATATAATACCTCTGATTTTAGTAAGTACTTTCTCGAGTTTAACTGCGCTTTGCTAAAAGAAAAAATAATGATAAGGAGAGAAAATGTACTTTCGCTTGAAATGAAAAATGAGCAAGAAATTAATCTGGTAATCTTCATTATTATAGGAAAAAAATATTTTTTATATTCACGAATGAAATAAAATATTAGACGAATTCAAGAAAATAATAGTTATTTATGTATCAAGGGAATTAGGAGGGCCTTAATTACCGATGGCAAAGTTTGCGTCCCGAGGGCCTCTGGCCCGAGGGACAGCAATTGCCTGAGGTTATTAAGGCTCATTAATTCCCGTGGTACATAGATAATTTTATTTCTGACCGATTTCAATAAAATTTTGTTCATTTTTGAAACGGAAAAATGTACCAATTCATTACCTTCCCGGTATATTTGAATCAGGTACCGTTGATTATAGTAGAGTTTTCTTGTTGCTAGGTTGTTGCTATGTTACTTGTTTATAAACAGAACTTTGTTATCAAGCTGTGTTTGCGGTGAAAACGTGTTTTCTACCCCAAATATAATGGAGGATATTTTGGAAAAAGCTGAACAAGCA